TTGGGACTTAATGCGATTTTAGTTCGAAACACATGTGAACACGAATGTCATGGTTAACTGATACCAAAGGGGGTATACGATTAATTAAGTCAAGTTTATTTTTTCCAACCAGCAAAAAGTATCACAACCATAAAATACGACACAAAGAAAATTTACACCGTTTTACTGGGGAAGGGACGTCGCGGGGAACCAAACTGGCTATCGAGCAGCGACACCCAAGTTCCTAATATCTAATTTAAAAAGTAAGAATTCTATAGTTTTGAAACCACTATATCTTATATTGACGGTGAGTACCGTATATGAAAGAGACCATTTAGTAGAAATTATATAGAAGAGTTTACATTAATTAAGCTATTCTTAATGCACATGATTAGGCATAACATGACGTGACCCGCACTAACAATAGGGAAAATATGACACATATTTCTATGTCTCTATTTTTAAATAGTTATGAACATGGATGGAATGATAACTTAGGACTTTTAGCAAGGGGATAAGAATCAAGAAGGAGTTTACACTTGGTTGAATATAATTCATACAGTATCGTTTTTGGAAATTTTAGTTGCTCTAAGGTGTAAGATTAACGGCGATTCCAGTTTGAAATAGTTGGGAACATCATTGGCATGAATATCAACTGTGAACTACCAGAGCGTACAGGTCACAATGAGCTACAGTTACATTTAAAAAATTAGCCTGATTACTTTATATAGTATGGTAGTTAGTGTCAACTACCATTTGTGGCAAAAACGCTCATCAGATTAATGAAAAAGGCCAGGACTACGTTTCCAGACATGTCAGACATATTAGTATATATAAGCACCCTATGATAAACAACAAGTTAAACAAAAAGTTTTAATATTTGCATGGTTTTTGTTGGGGTTGTGCTTTGACCGAATTACACTTAACGAGGCATAGTTCAAATTCTTACAGTATCTCTGCAGATATAAACGTGCTGAACTTAAAGTATCAATATGAAAAAAATTCACTGTTTGTCGTAATCACAACGTGACACCCTATTGCGGTGAAACGCCTTTTATTTATGCTGGCCTAATAACCTTTAAATAGACTGACATTACAAGATAGTAATTGGCCTTTCGGTTTGGACGATTAAACGAAACGACAGCAGATGGGACAACACAGCAGTTAGCCCCTACGCTGTACTGACTATGCCATCATTCACCGGATATTGCTACAGTTAATTCGTAGGACAGAATATTTAATTCCGCGAAACTACGAAATGAGCATGGTTTGGTTTAACAGATTTTGTCATAAACAATTATGAGCGCGCATTGATGCCCAAACTGACAAAAATAAGATCAATTTAATGCATTCTTGTACCTCGACTATTGGGAGGGAACCAAAAAAAGCTTAATTTTTATTTCTAAAACATGGCCCTAGCCTTATTCACTGGATCGACTCAGCAGCCAGAATAAAACGGTAGTTGTGCGAATCATGTTATGATGAAATTTTGAGATTGTAATTTTTAGAAAATTTCATTTGACACACAAACCAAAACTTATACTCAATATATAGAAAGTAATATTTGTATGTAGATTTTCCGAAAAAATTACAATATATCATTTATCTATACTATAGACATCTAAATTGAAAAGCTTTCAAATGATTTGGTTACATACTTGCTCTTCAGACTTGATAGGCCTCCATCTCACTCAGTGATGAAAAGCTGGCACTTGACGAATTTCTTTTGCTACAATGATAAATTGTTCTGTCAACTTTCAAGCAGTGTTTGAAAAAGCTGAAAATCAATATATATGTCATGATTTTGTGCAAGCCAATTCTAAATTTGAGTTAAACTAAATTTCGTTAAGCCAACTATGTCATTAGGTAGATAATTCAGACAAATGGTATTTGACAGAGACACTGCAAAGCAAAAAATAGACGTTAGTTTCAATAAAATACGTAACGGGTAAATTTCGACATTAGATTTCATAAAAGCCAAACTTTTCTCCGATTTTTTGTTAAATACACGAAACTAAGAAAATTTAGACGAATAAAATTTATTCAGCGATTGCCATTAAATTTCAAATATTATAGATTACCATAGAAATTGCTTTTCATCGACCTTACAGTTACAGGTATATGTAATCATTCAATTTCATAAATACAGCTCCATATTTTATAACATACCAGGTGTAGTTTTCAAACTGCACGAGTTGCAAATATTACAATAAAAGTAAAACACCCAATGAACTTTTATACCTGTTTCATGGAGTATATGACTAATTACCTCTGATCAGTAACTTGTAAAATTATCACATTGTTCACGGTGGGGATCGCAAACTGGGGATCGCTATTCAGCAGAGAAGCGAGCAACGAATTTTAGGGGGCGCAAAGGGTACACCAGTTTGATACAAAGTACTATATTAATAGTACTATTTCGGACTTCTGCTTTAAAACACAATTATTAAAACATGGACAGAATCTAAATCCTAAATTTCGATAGAATGCACAGGATCAAATATACAGCGTAACAATGTTGGCTTGCATTGAACTATTTAGCCTTTTAAACGTGAACGTGGGTTGTACTTTTTTGGAACTTTGATTCGAAAGACAATTATTAAAACTTGTGAAAATATAAATCTTACAATTTCGAGGGAAAACACACGATCAAATAAGTGGCAATGCCGACTTTGATCGCAAGACCCGAGACGCGGTGCGCTTGCATCTAATTGTTTAGCATTCTAAACGAAAACAGTGGTGTACAGGAATAAAATATGCGTCGAAAGTCAAATAAAATGTTTAAATGATATTTACTTGTAAAATTCCTCGTTCGTTGCTCTGTGTCTTTGAATCTACAACCTTTAATAGTTTTGCATCTGAAAAAAAGTTAAAATATTGATAAATAAACTGTCGCAGAACTGTAGCTAGCATATTCAATGAACAGCGGGACTGAATCTATCGGATCTTCTGCCAACGCTCCCGCCACGTTTTAAAATGACATATTATTAATTATCCATTTGGGGTTAGGAATGATTTAAAAATTGAATTCCCAGCGCAATCTGCATTGCTAACTTAAACTGGATAATTATTAATTCTCTTATTTTAAAGGTTGATAGGGTCTTTGTACAAAGATCCAATCTATACAGGGCGATCCGGTAGTATTCGTACCAAGATGGTGCACAACCTGAACCCTAACTAAGTACACATACTGTGTTCAGGTTGTGCGCCATCTTGGTACGAATACTCTGGGAGCACCCTATACACAATAAAATATGAAAGGGAAAAGGCTACGGCGAATCTCTAATAAACCATTGATTTTGCGCTACATTTGCGAAAGTTTTGAAAGTTATGCATTACATTCATGTAAATCTTGTCCTGTTGAATGCAGCTTACGTAGTGACGTAGATCAGTATATTACGTTTAAATTTGTTAATATGATAAGTCTATGCAGCAGCCCCGCAATTGCCCCATTACTAGTATTATAACCCCATTGCTGGCGGACTGCCGCATACTTCGATACATAACCCGCGTCTTTTCGGGAATTGTGCATACGAAATTAACAAAGCAGAAACATTTATTGCATACCAGCTAAAAACTGCACACCTTCCGTGAACTAGCTGGTGGAAAACATTGCATTATATGACTTTACGAAATTATATAAATAAAATTGGGCGGAACATCTTGTGAGGATAATTCAAACATTTGCAGTTCTTCCTGACTAGCGGGATTTAACATGATATATCAGTTTATACCTGACAAAATATGAATTGAAAGATTTATAAGATTACATACTTGCTCTTTACTCTTGGGACTATATAGGCTTCCATCCCACTCCGTGAGGCACCAGACTGATAACAATGTCCGTTTGATGCAATGACCCTTTCAAGCAGTGATTTAGAAAACTGAAAATGAATATATAGTTTCATTATCAAGTTTTGGATTACAAATCACAAAAAATGCTTATTAACAGAGGTAAAGCAAAGGTAAGCTTATATTAAAAATACACAAACAATATTATTTTGACCACGTAGAAATGCCATTATTGCCGATTTATTCATGTGGTTAGTATCAATAAAAAAGTGTTTTAACAAAGTTGAGTTACGTGAACATTCAACAGTAAGTATTGTAGTGATTACCAATTTGCGAAATTCTTTAATTAATATTTAACACGAAAGTAATACCGACACGATCTAAAATTAAACGCATAGAAATGTCCAACTATTCGCTCCACAAATATCGCACCCCGGGGTCAATAATGATGATATTGTTCGCCTAAAATTGGGACCGTAATTTACAAACTGTGATAGAAATCCTACACAGAAGACAGAAATCATAATAAAATTAATTTATGTTGTGAATGCACTTGTTGTCCCTCTTTGCCGATGTGAACTTACAATCATGTCCGAAATATAAAAACTACGATATCCGCCGTGATAATTAATAATTCCTAGTGAATAAAAAAGTGCTTTAATATAGTCTAACAACATTAATTGGAATGTCGGCCGCCAAAACGATCGCGGTGACAAATAATTCACTGAGGCCTTCGATTACGACAAAATTATGAAATAAAAACGCCTCACTGTTCTAGTAAAATCCGAAAAAAAAAATATTGTCACGACGGAGGTTTCGGCGGCCGACATCCCAATTGATGTCGTTCAAAATGACAATACTGATTATTCGGTGTCCGTTAAAAATATTCGATTAACTCGATTAAAAAATACGATTATGCCCGCCACGGATCACGGCGCAAGTAAATAATCATTGAATGGAAATAAAAGTTCAACTTCATAACAATAAATTTCAAGTAATAGTTTTAAATTTCATGCATTTGATCGGCGCTACACGCGAGCGTATTTTTGTACATATAAACCATTATGACACTACTGACATCTGCGAGTTTTAGTTCTCTCTGAAATTAATTTTCCCGAATTTTTAATGTTTTATTTCTAAATGCGGGTACCCGCTGACTACGGATTAATAGTAGACGTTTGAAATACGACTTGTAAAATATTCACCAACACCATCAGGCAAAGAGAGACGGGCTACAACGTAACTGTGGAATTTCGCTGTGAACGACCATACATTTTAGTTTATTAAACGCCTTACGTCGTCGTGAATTGCACTTTTGGCGCACTCTTTTTTAATTTCGTCGTAACCCCCATTGAAAAATCCTGGCTGCGCCCCTGGATGCGGCAATATTTAAAATGCTGTATTTATTGGCTTAATTGTGTTCAATGAAACCTGCAGTTGCGACGACTTACGTCTTACGACAATATAAAATCATTACAACTCAAAAACTCGATCAGCGGACTTGAAATGAAGAACAGTGAAACCAAGTGTAACAACACTGAATCCGCCCCGCCGCAGGCCTGTCACTCTGATTCTTTTTTAAGGTTTCACCGTTTGAAAATATCCCAAGATTTAGACAAAATACGAACAATTGTAATTTAAATATTGCAAAAAAATCGATCTAAGATATCTTGCATTAATTATTTTATATATCATCATCCCATACCATAGAGAAAAAAGTACGGTGCACAATTATGCGGCTTCATAGGATGGTTAGTTAGATTTCAAAATCCATCGACAAAGTAATCGCGTGCACAATTAATCTGTACATCGTGTTTCGATTTCAGATTTACTATTAATTATTGTATATATTTAAAGAAATCAAATCAATAACATCAGAATAACACCAAATTTTGTTGATTTAGCGTAATGTTAAAAGCGTATTCAATCTGCTGCGCAGCACCTATGCTAAAATAAATCACACTCTATGGGATATCTTTCCGTTTTAACTATGTGACTTTAATTCTATACTATATTCCTTTATCCTACATTATATTAATGCCGTCAATCAGGAAATTGGGTTGCGGAATCACCTCTATTTATCATTTAATTTCCATTCATCGATCTTTTATAATTATACGTATTCTAACATTTTGTTGTGATGTGGAGAATGTAAATATTTAGAATAGATTCAGAAGATTTTAATAACATACTTGCTCTTTAGACTCGATTCATCCACCTCTCTCAGTGATGCATAATCGGACAAATAACTCCGCATGTCTTTTGATGTATTATGATAAACTGTCTTTTCCGCTTTCAAGAAGAGTTTTAGAAAGCTGAACTTTATGCGAGATAATGAACTGTAAGTAAATTTTGTATAATATTGATTTGAATAAATATAGTTGTTCGAACTAAGTCATTAATAAGTTTAAGATTTATAAGTTACGGGAAATGTAATTTGACAGGAGCACAGAGAAGCTATGCTTATACTTTGGATACATAAAATAAAAATATTAATTTTCAGTTCATTGACAAATTATTCAGATTCCCCCCTTATTTACTAACAATACTTTGGAATGAATGGTGTATAATATTGCAACACATCATATAAATTTTATTTATATTCATTGAATAGCACGTTGAAAATACGGCTATTAAGAAATGTAAATATCAAAAATAAGGGGGAAAAGATAAAATTTAACAAATATTCCTGTTTCTAATTACCTTTACGCCCCTCCACGCTCTTGTGATAAGCTATGCTTGTTCTAAAGATACGAGGACAACAACTTGTACTGATATTCATTGACGTTCATTCTATATTATTTGCAGATTTTCAATATTATAAATATTACTTATTCGGAATGATCTGTCAGTGTGCTATGTTTCTCATTATCTAAATTTTAACTAGTGAATTATTTATTAGTGTGTTATATTTTACCTTCAAGTTCTCTATAGTCTTCTCTTCCCATCCCAGAGACCTGAAAATATACATTTATAAATAACTTCAGCCAAAGACATTTTAGACATTATATATATAAATATAAGAACATGACAGATCATAACTAGGGAATAAACGATAGAGAAATAAGGAATATATTCCCAGATTCAAACACTTATGAACATAAGGCTACTAGCAATAGGGATATAGGCTGACTATAGTAGATTTACAATTGGTGGGATCTCATATATAGTAACCTTCGAAATTTTAGTTTGGGACACAAATCCCATTGTTAACCAATACTAAAGGATTCCCGGTTATATTGATGCATATTGATGCACTTGATTCTACTCACTCATATAATAATATACTCGTTATTGGGAACTTAATGCGATTTTAGTTCGAAACACATGTGAACACGAATGTCATGGTTAACTGATACCAAAGGGGGTATACGATTAATTAAGTCAAGTTTATTTTTTCCAACCAGCAAAAAGTATCACAACCATAAAATACGACACAAAGAAAATTTACACCGTTTTACTGGGGAAGGGACGTCGCGGGGAACCAAACTGGCTATCGAGCAGCGACACCCAAGTTCCTAATATCTAATTTAAAAAGTAAGAATTCTATAGTTTTGAAACCACTATATCTTATATTGACGGTGAGTACCGTATATGAAAGAGACCATTTAGTAGAAATTATATAGAAGAGTTTACATTAATTAAGCTATTCTTAATGCACATGATTAGGCATAACATGACGTGACCCGCACTAACAATAGGGAAAATATGACACATATTTCTATGTCTCTATTTTTAAATAGTTATGAACATGGATGGAAGGGGATAAGAATCAAGAGGGAGTTTACACTTGGTTGAATATAATTCATACAGTATCGTTTTTGGAAATTTTAGTTGCTCTAAGGTGTAAGATTAACGGCGATTCCAGTTTGAAATAGTTGGGGAACATCATTGGCATGAATATCAACTGTGAACTACCAGAGCGTACAGGTCCACAATGAGCTACAGTTACATTTAAAAAATTAGCCTGATTACTTATATTGTATGGTAGTTAGTGTCAACTACCATTTGTGGCAAAAACGCTCATCAGATTAATGAAAAAGGCCAGGACTACGTTTCCAGACATGTCAGACATATTAGTATATATAGGCACCCTATGATATCAACAAGTTAAACAATAAGTTTTAATATTTGCATGGTTTTTGTTGGGGTTGTGCTTTGACCGAATTACACTTAACGAGGCATAGTTGAAATTCTTACAGTATCTCTGCAGATATACACGTGAAAAAAATTCACTGTTTGTCGTAATCACAACGTGACACCCTATTGCGGTGAAACGCCTTTTATTTATGCTGGCCTAATAACCTTTAAATAGACTGACATTACAAGATAGTAATTGGCCTTTCGGTTTGGACGATTAAACGAAACGACAGCAGATGGGACAACACAGCAGTTAGCCCCTACGCTGTACTGACTATGCCATCATTCACCGGATATTGCTACAGTTAATTCGTAGGACAGAATATTTAATTCCGCGATACTACGAAATGAGCATGGTTTGGTTTAACAGATTTTGTCATAAACAATTATGAGCGCGCGCATTGGTGCCCAAACTGACAAAAATAAGATCAATTTAATGCATTCTTGTACCTCGACTATTGGGAGGGAACCAAAAAAAGCTTAATTTTTATTTCTAAAACATGGCCCTAGCCTTATTCACTGGACCGACTCAGCAGCCAGAATAAAACGGTAGTTGTGCGAATCATGTTATGATGAAATTTGGAGATTGTAATTTTTAGAAAATTTCATTTGACACACAAACCAAAACTTATACTCAATATATTGAAAGTAATATTTGTATGTAGATTTTCCGAAAAAATTACAATATATCATTTATCTATACTATAGACATCTAAATTGAAAAGCTTTCAAATGATTTGGTTACATACTTGCTCTTCAGACTTGATAGGCCTCCATCTCACTCAGTGATGAAAAGCTGGCACTTGACGAATTTCTTTTGCTACAATGATAAATTGTTCTGTCAACTTTCAAGCAGTGTTTGAAAAAGCTGAAAATCAATATATATGTCATGATTTTGTGCAAGCCAATTCTAAATTTGAGTTAAACTAAATTTCGTTGAGCCAACTATGTCATTAGGTAGATAATTCAGACAAATGTTATTTGACAGAGACACTGCAAAGCAAAAAATAGACGTTAGTTTCAATAAAATACGTAACGGGTAAATTTCGACATTAGATTTCATAAAAGCCAAACTTTTCTCCGATTTTTTGTTAAATACACGAAACTAAGAAAATTTAGACGAATAAAATTTATTCAGCGATTGCCATTAAATTTCAAATATTATAGATTACCATAGAAATTGCTTTTCATCGACCTTACAGTTACAGGTATATGTAATCATTCAATTTCATAAATACAGCTCCATATTTTATAACATACCAGGTGTAGTTTTCAAACTGCACGAGTTGCAAATATTACAATAAAAGTAAAACACCCAATGAACTTTTATAACTGTTTCATGGAGTATATGACTAATTACCTCTGATCAGTAACTTGTAAAATTATCACATTGTTCACGGTGGGGATCGCAAACTGGGGATCGCTATTCAGCAGAGAAGCGAGCAACGAATTTTAGGGGGCGCAAAGGGTACACCAGTTTGATACAAGGTACTATATTAATAGTACTATTTCGGACTTCTGCTTTAAAACACAATTATTAAAACATGGACAGAATCTAAATCTTAAATTTCGATAGAATGCACAGGATCAAATATACAGCGTAACAATGTTGGCTTGCATTGAACTATTTAGCCTTTTAAACGTGAACGTGGGTTGTACTTTTTTGGAACTTTGATTCGAAAGACAATTATTAAAACTTGTGAAAATATAAATCTTACAATTTCGAGGGAAAACACACGATCAAATAAGTGGCAATGCCGACTTTGATCGCAAGACCCGAGACGCGGTGCGCTTGCATCTAATTGTTTAGCATTCTAAACGAAAACAGTGGTGTACAGGAATAAAATATGCGTCGAAAGTCAAATAAAATGTTTAAATGATATTTACTTGTAAAATTCCTCGTTCGTTGCTCTGTGTCTTTGAATCTACAACCTTTAATAGTTTTGCATCTGAAAAAAAGTTAAAATATTGATAAATAAACTGTCGCAGAACTGTAGCTAGCATATTCAATGAACAGCGGGACTGAATCTATCGGATCTTCTGCCAACGCTCCCGCCACGTTTTAAAATGACATATTATTAATTATCCATTTGGGGTTAGGAATGATTTAAAAATTGAATTCCCAGCGCAATCTGCATTGCTAACTTAAACTGGATAATTATTAATTCTCTTATTTTAAAGGTTGATAGGGTCTTTGTACAAAGATCCAATCTATACAAGGCGATCCGGTAGTATTCGTACCAAGATGGTGCACAACCTGAACCCTAACTAGGTACACATACTGTGTTCAGGTTGTGCGCCATCTTGGTACGAATACTCTGGGAGCACCCTATACACAATAAAATATGAAAGGGAAAAGGCTACGGCGAATCTCTAATAAACCATTGATTTTGCGCTACATTTGCGAAAGTTTTGAAAGTTATGCATTACATTCATGTAAATCTTGTCCTGTTGAATGCAGCTTACGTAGTGACGTAGATCAGTATATTACGTTTAAATTTCTTAATATGATAAGTCTATGTATTGTCATATAGCTTTTAAGTTCAACCAGTTTTGAGGAAACAATGGAACCCGTTCGATACAAAAGAGAATCACCCACCAATCTAGACTTCTGTATTTAGTTAATAATTCCAGTTCGTATAGGCCCGAAAACCTCTAATTTACCACTTATACAATAGAAATATGAAAGCAATGGAATAGCAATGAAAACAATAGGTTTAAAGAACATTTAGCTCACCTGAATATTGTTTCAAACTCGCTGTCATAACCCAACAGGTAGCTGTCCATACATTCTACACAAAATCAAACCTTATCCTACGACGAACATTTGTGACTGCGATGTCGCTTGTGGCTTCCCGCGCACAAATATTTGACGAAAAAAGCTAACTGATTGTTGTAATCAAATATTTTCAACTGATTACTTTAATTACTCCAGGTTGCCGTTACGATCCGATCACGCTTCTAACGCGTGATCTCAAAGTTGCAGAATGAAGATGACGGTTAGGATTTGCTTCATACATTTTCTAATCGCATAATACCTAGTTCATAGTATTTTCGGGGGTGTTTATCTCGGTGACCGTACACTTGAACCCACGTATATTTTAACCCACGTACATTTGAACCATGTACAAATATCCGTAAAACAAATAAATTTCCATAAGTGCAATAGTACGCAGGTGCAATTGTCGTGGGTTCAGACGTACGTAGTTCAAATGTACGTGGGTTCAAATGTACACGGGTTTAAATGTAATGGAACCGTTTATCTCAGATCTCACATTTTTACATCAGTGACGGGAGCTTAGTACAAAGAATTCAGCATTTCCATTATATTTGTCTGTTTTGTTTTTCTAGTAAACGCGCACGTGGATATCATCAAAAATGTAACCTTCCCTCCACTCCATGAAAGAATAACGGCGTGTTTAGCGTTATATCAATGCATTCTCTAAATTGACGTACAAATCTTAGCTCATTGACTTTCGCAGTCAAGAATGTTTTCTTACAATAACGTGACGGCGATGTCCTTAAAAATGGAGTCACAATGGGTCGTTGTTTCGATGCCTACTGCAGGGCTACTCAACTATTTTTATCGAAGGTCCGCAAACAAAACTTCAAAATTATTTGGGTCCGGTCTTTCCAGAAATGATATTTTGGCCTCCTTAAACGGGCAATTCCTCGACGGCTAATGATTAGTAGCAAATAAAAATTGTTTATTATGGTGTTATAGTTCTTTTCGTATATATTCAAAACTATGAAAGTCATTGTATAATAGGAATTCAAAAACTGGGGCTAATGATCCAAAATAAATAATTAGGTGCGGTCCTGGCCTACAGTAAAGGTAATTTCTCCGCCCAAACCAAACGGCAGAGACATAACATCAGCAACAGCATTAACCACGGTTCTATGTAAAGTAAATACGATAATTGACTGCTCAAGACAAGTGCATACCGACGACAACGACTGATTCACATATTTGGTGTTATGAAGCTCGTGAAGAGGTAGACTGCTATTTACGGAGCCCCACAATAAGAACGTAACAAAACCAAATTGTTACTTACAGATTAATATTAATGAGTGATTTGAAAAATACGCTATTCAATAACTCGGATGTATTTGCTTCTTCTTAAATTTATTAATGTCATTTTGAGTAAACGAATAGTTCGCGGAGACTCTATAGTTCTGTATGAAGCAATTTGAGTCTGTCTCTACAGTAGACCTCTTGGTAAAAAGCGATCATGATACAGGTATGTACGCCATAAAGAACAATCCTGAGATTTTCGTCATCCAGCGTAAGGGATAGAACGTATTAATGTGTTTAGTATCTATGTCAGTGCACTGCAGTTGACTACGTTCGCGTTGATTGGCGCATCGTGCTAAGCCTTAGGACTACGCTTGATTTCTAACCTAAGATTACCCCGCTTAGATTCGCAGGTTCAAATCCAGTAGGGGATAATTTAGTACCAGAGGATTGCTGGCGGCTTACTCCCACTATCCCTACCCTAAGCTAGCGCTTCCCAAACTTTTTAGCCCCGGAATATTAATAGTTTTTATGATGTAATTTCAGTTTTTGCTCTACTTTCGCTTGAGGCACATAATATGCAGCACCTACGCCAAATGGATTTTTCGAACCGTCAGTAAATACTTGTACATAGTCTCGATAGTTTTCGTGTATATGGTCAAGAAATGACGTTTGAAGTATTGTTGGTGAACATGTTGTACCATAAATCGTTAACGTTGTATCAATTTGCGGTGGCTTTATTACCCAGGAGGAATCTTGAAATTGACATCTTTTGCAACAAGAAGTTGGTAAAAAAGCTGTTGGTTGTTTTCATAATAAACGTTGCAAATGACGGTTTGTAAAGAAAATATTATTCCCACGACTGTTTGAATAAATTGTGCTGTAATTTCGCTGTCACGAGGAATCATTCTGCATTTGTAATGTAGACATTTTCTATAATGTATAATATGTAAAGGCATTTCGTTACACTGGGATTGTAACGCTATAATAGGAGTACTTTTTAATGCAACCAAACATTGTGATTAGATTACAGCCAGTTTTCCGCAATATAGTCGTTGTTCTTATTGTTCCTGTTCTTGTTCTTTGACACGTTTTTAAAAAAGTTGCGTTTCTCTTTGATTACTGGACCAAATGCTTTGAAATTTTCAGTAGTTAAAGATGGAATTTTTTTCTAGAAGGCTATTACTTTTATTAGTTTCAAATATTTCTGTGAGCTTTATGAGATTCGTTTTTATTTTGAGCTATGACGTCATCAGAATTTGCACCATGTGGCGATTCCGCAAACATTTCAACGATATATTGGGTCAGCAAAGTCGGGAGTTTTTTGATAAGGTAGACCAGGGTGGTCCCAAACTCTGTCATGCTGATACATTCCGTGCGGCTCACAGAACAATTTTAGCGTATATTTGTATGTAATGAGTAACGTTTTTTTTAGATATTCCAACTGGGGTTGGGATCCCCGAAATTCAAACCCTTTTTCTAACCCTTTGTGCCAAAACACTCCTCTGTTTACAAGCATCGGCCATGTGACAGTAGTGACGAAACGCAGAGCCGACTTAACACCGCGTAATCCAGTTTTTTAGCTAGGTCCAGAAAACAAACTTAGACTGACTTGGTTGGTATTTGACGATGTCACTGAGCTTGCTCACGCTGCAAGTTTCTAAATTACTCAATATAACAATTCGTAATAAAATGAGTGTCGCAAGAAAGGTGACATGAGAGAACACGGCGGAAATGTACTTCCTTGCCCATCACGCAGTGTCTGGTTTGATTTCAAGTAATATCTGTCACGAAAGAATATAATTTGAAGCGACATTAAACGCGAGATGCGCAAAATACAACGGTAATTCTCGGAAATTAACTTTAAAATATCTGAAGGCTTTATATATCTTCTTTAAACGAACGCCAACCATGCAGCCTAATAATAGTCTGATTAGAAGATCTCGTTGTTTAATAAATTCAAAGTAAGTAAACTCGCGATATTTTGATCACTTTTGGGTTTTCTCCGACTTGCGGCCCGCGAGAGCTCCTCAAAAGTTTTTGCGGTCCTTCAACATAGCAACCTTGAACCACTTTGAGGTAGACTACTAGGTACCGGTAAAATTTCAAACTACAGTTGTGACTTGTATCCTATGGTATTTTGATTCACGTTGAGACTGGAGGCATAAATCTTTATTGTCACACTCCCTCAGGATTAGCCCAACCGATATATCGGCCCGATATTGCGTGTTTGCATATATATAATATCGGCAGTAAACGGCCGATATATATATCGGCTATATATATAACAGTTAAAAAACCTAAAAATGTTCGTAAAAGTTGTTCTATTTACTGTTGGTTGTGATTATCTTTAATGAATAATACACTTATGTGGTTTATTGTTTTTATAATTAAATTACACATGAGGGGTCACCAAACACCAAAGTATTCAGTGCTTAGGGCACCAAAGGGGCTTAATCCGCCCCTGGAAATATTCATAACGTGCCAATGATACTATTATGCTGGGTGCGTTATTGGAAGCTAAATTTAGAATAGCTGTATAACACATAAACACTTGTGGTTAGCATCTGATTTAAATCGTGGCATAAAATTATAATCAAGTATGCATGTAAAATATTTCTTTGTCCTTCCCTTTTCCCAAATTCTTCAATCTGTTATATGTAAATGACCGTACGTCTAATAGCATTGTACAAAGGGTCCAACTCGTACTATCCCACATGTAAGATATTTACTAGTTTGGGTAGCTGGCTTTGTTTATAAAAAAAAAAATACCGCCTTCAAATCGATATATTCCTCTAATTATAAAATAATTTTGATTTGGAAATACACTATTTTAATAATGTAAACCCACGATTGAAAGACAACATTTCTTCAGTATCTGAAACCCATGGGCTATTTAATAAAATACAGTTGCCCAGTGATATTTTTCTTCGGTGAACGTATAATGAGCTACAACTCTACTCAAACGCAGTCTACTGCTCGATTACCAACACCGTCGACAAGGAATATGGTAAGTCATATATATATTATTGATAATCGAAAGAAAGTTATTTGAGGTACTGAAAAAATCTAGCTCGACTTATCCAGACTGCAAGTCGTGGCGTTGTTACTAGAAAGCGATATTACGACATGGCAACCCTCCTTTGGCCTGATGAATAAATATGCATTCCAAGCAACTATAAAAATTATATTTAGGTTAATATTGTTTTTTGATATTATGAAGATATATGTCCACAGATATTAAAAAAAACTGTTGCAACATGCCGTGGTACCAGTTCAAACAAAAATTCATAATTTTTTCAGGAACATCTTCTATTTATATAGTCAATAAACAAGCATATGATCAGCAAGGTTTATTAATTACAGCAATCTGATGGTTGTATCATATATACAAGTTATCTTAAGTAAATGTGCATGAAAAGTTTGCAGAAGAGAATACTATCAAATCAAACTAAATGAAGCATAATATTTTCAAAATTACAAAACAAGAGGGACCGATGTGTTGATATTCTATTATATGCCTAATTGCTACCACCTTTGTTCTTTTCCTTCATAACGAATTCTACCACCTCCTCGGCCAAACCCACTTCTTCCGCGTCTGGACCCACCTCTGCCCCTACGGAAAGCAATATTATATTCAGCAATACTTTTTATTTTATGTTTACTCTGTATAATTTTGAAAGCTTAAGATTCAGCTTGCACAGATAAATGCAGATGCCGAGCTTGGTGATGGGTACGTAAATCATTCTGCTGAATACGAGACCACTGGCTTTGTTAACTTATGGCCAGCTATTGGACGACATCAATTGCTGATATGATAGATTTAAAATAAATTGAACATACCATACTTCATTATAAAGTTCTGTTACTGTATTCAATCATGATAGTGTGAATTTAGAGAACAAACATATAGTACATTTATTTAATTTTTATCAGTGTCGCATACATATGAGAAATCGGGCCCCAAATTCAATTGCCTCTATGTAGAATGTATGTAGATCACAACATCTATGCGGCTGAAATGCATCTTCCTCCGCCAAGTTTATTTCTCAAGCATGCTGGTTTCTGATTTGAGTCTCAGAGAACAACACAGAAATAAATAGGAAAGACGGAGTAATCGTTTGAACCTAACAGGTGAATTTGATACATAAAATCTAAGCCCTTTGAAACAAGAAAATGAAAGCTTACCGTAAAATGTAAGGCCTTCGATGGTCTGGAATATCGTTTCTAACTGGGGGCCATCCTCTCCGATCCTGGTCCCAGACAACGCGCTCACCCCAGCCTCTTCCCCTTCTGAGGTTTATACCCCTACGCCTGGTTTTATTTTCAAAATTATACTGTTTTGTTTATGTATAAAAACAGGTTATTGGGGGTTGATCTCGAGTATGCTTCACGATTGCAAATGCAATGTTTGGCTAAATAGGATTAATTGCCGTCAGCCACATAATGGTAAAATCACATAACTGCCCGCCACTGACTTACGATATATTTATTTCAGGCGGTGATTAACATCTTTGCCCCAAATAAGTCCATTTTCAAACAGGTAACAATCATACGGAATTATTATATTCAGTGACAATATTTTTTTACTATTTTCCTCATTCTAACTTTTAAAACTTAGATTTAATATTAAAATCATGGCGGATTATTTTGGTATTTTACAGTCACATTTGAGGCATATCAGCCATCTTTCCATATGTATACCTCATTTCGGAGGCTGAGTCTATTGTGACGTTTTATTGTGACGTTGTAGTTACATATTAGTTGACATATTAATTTGCGTTAGTATATAAAAGTATATAATTGCTTTGTATATAAGGGTATTAGTTAGAGTTAAACAACAATACGTAGGCTCACCACTTTATATATTCATCAAATTCCTGGTCTCTTGATTCTGTGGGGGGAACTCTGTGTGAACCTCCCCGACCACCGCCTCTTCCACCACCTCTATTTTTATTTTTGAAATTGAATTTTTTTTTAATTGAACAGGTATAAGATTGAATTAATTGTTAGTTGTTGAAAACATTTAAAAATTTCTACATTGAGCTTTTATCAATCAGCAATTGAATGAAAGGAGAAAACAAACTTAGAAAATTGTTTGTAACAGACAAGTTGAAATAAAAAGGCAAAAAAATAATGATGGACAATATGACTGAAACTTACAATTTACTAGCATCACGTTCTTGGTCTACATCTACAGCGTTATCATTAGGTGGAGTCGCTTTCCTTTCGTCTTTCACAGGTACGCTATGATGACTACCTCGGCCACCTCTTCCACCACCCCTCCCCCTGATTTGAAGACATATATTCAATCTTCCAGCAGCATTAGATTGAATAAAATTTCGCAAAATGCAGTAAATCTAAACTACCGGTTTACAGTGGTTTCTAACTTTTTAACATGTGCATCGACATTTTATTATGTATTGTTGACACTACTTAGTCTGACGTGTGAATAACTTGAGCCTATCGATGGTATATATATTTTTTATATATTATCAATTCTCGAGTGTCGCACATAATAGTAAGAGATCAAATGGTACCATTCTGACTATTTTTGCTTTTATTATTTATCACAGGTATTACAACGTCGTATTGATTATACTTTTATGTGACTTTACTTAGGCGAAATATTTCTAGAACTATACGTGAAACAATACGTTCAATCTCTTGCAATCACTTACATGTATGCATTGCTGCTCGGTGACTTGTCTGTAGCCATGCCCAATGATTCCCATGTTTGCTCGCTAGTGCGTCCACCGCCTCTTCCCATATATCTTCCTCTCCTTCCACCCCTATCCATAACAAGAATATATATGATAAGTTTGAATGATTTTGCATAATTTTCGATCGTCCAGAATTCAAGGATAGTTTTGCAAAATCTTACACCGATAAATAACTAATCTCACCCCGAAGTAGAATCCAGATACAAAATTCATTTCATAATTGTTGCAATGATCCTTGCAATCTTTTCTACGATATAAATGTTGAATTTGTATTACTAACCTTACCTGCCATAGCCTGACATTTTCTTCAGTCAGTTTTGAAAAATTCTAAACATCCGCGAAACAATTCAGACAAAGCAAAATACCATGTTGAATAGGTTATTTTTGTTCCCAAGACAAAGGTGACAATCAAAGAAGCCTCGGAAACATGAAGCTATTGTGCACGGAAATATAGCAGTGGAGTGTATGACATGGAACATTTTGGCGTATTTTACTCGATTGATTAGCAATCTACGGAAATAGCAGATACACCCATTATGACCATTTAGTTGGTGATGCTATCATGCATTATAAAATAATGCTTATTTAAAACACTTGATCGCTATACGTATACGGTTGTGTCAATATTATTCTAAAAAAAGTACGACGGTTGATGTTCCATTTGGACGGCTTTGTGTTTATATCGTAATGAATATTTCTCCAACTAATTCATATATATTTTGTCACGTTAGATAGTTCTCAGCACTTTTATAAAAAGTTATACTATTGCCTATTTGCCTAAATGCAATGTAGGCTATCTATTGTTTTACTTTACTAGCTTTATCTATTATTTGAGAAATTGTAGTATATCCAACACCATGTTACTATTAAAATTGTTCATACGTAACGTCATGCATGGTATAAACTGGTTTGTTTTGCGTTTTTATTTGCGACCTTGAACCTCTATTACATCTATTCTGTTTTGGGTGTAATCTTGTATAATATTATAGGTACATTTGAAAAGCGCTGGTCCGACAAAACGTCTAAACCCGCATGCCTAAAACGTTTCGTCATGTTTAAAGTGATTCAATTAAGTTTATGGGCATGGAAATGATTAATATTGCTGAATAGCCCACTGTTTTATTAGGGTAATAGTAATTGCCATAACATTTCAAAATATGGCAATTAAAATTTCATCTACTATCCACAAATTTTACGCTGATTTTCATGTATAAGGTTGGCTTGGTTGTACAGACAAGTTCTTGTATGTCCTTTTTGTTGTGCCCTACAACCAACGATTTCAATAGAACACCAATTTTGAATCATTGATTCTCACTCAGTAAATTTGGTGCAATTTGCATATAATTTTTGTGTCCTCATGATCGATATGCATACTGATTTACAACATACTTGATAAAATGATTTTAAAGTGGCCAACTGAATTTTTCGGTACAATAGTGATTCACGCATAGTTTGTATACTTTGATCGTTATCGGTGATGCCTTATTCATAATATAGTTTAGTCATATTTTCTTTTGTAATTCTCCGGGGATATTGCTCATTCAAATTATTTTGTTCATCACATTATAAGTTCTTTAGTATTGTGTTAAATGACGTGGCTACAGCGTTGTTGAAATTTAATACATCCTCATAAGAACAGTAAAAACTTCTAACATATACCTTAAACAGAATGTTATTTTTTCGCCCAATATCTAAACAAAAATTTCTATAGAATCAAACAACATCATACTTTCAGATATTCAGATTCAATAATGTTTTGCATTCAAAATGTAGTTACATCTTCTGAGATGTAATATATTTGGCTGCGTAACGTAATACAAGTCATTAAATTGAGTTAGCAAATGCTATGGTTCAGAACAAACACTATATAATATATCTTTATGTCTGCTTTCTGTAGAAACAGAAAATGTTTTCGATCAAAATTTTCGAATCTGTTCGAAGTCATTTGATGAACGTACATTTGCAAAATTGATTTTAAAATACACGTCGGTACATTCAATCTTTTGCACATTAATAAGTAATAAATGGAGCATGAGTTAAGAGTTTAATTGGACTCAAGTATATATAATAAAAAAAAATGAATAACATTTTCGATAAAGATTAGTTTTTGCATGAGTAAAATGATACATGAATAAAGTCCACATTTGGTGCCAATCAAAATCGACACAGTATAATATACACAGATGATATATCCTGATATTTATATGGTGATATTATCCAGTATGATGGCAGTGGTTTCGGTAAACACCGTTAACCTAATATATATTCATATCTTCTTTTTCGTGGTAGGTTTTCTAGATTTATGTCTAACGACCGAATACGTTGTAGTCGTATCAGAATCACTGTCTGTTTCAAATTCATCAGAGTCAAAAATTTCGTCATCACCCTCTTCATTTTCTGTAAGCTCTGGTAAAGGACCGCTCATATCAGCATAAATTGATTCATTATTTGTTATTGGATCGATAACACGAATTGAGCGCATTTCTTCTCTGTGAAATGCTTGTGGGTTTTGTCCACCCATCGTTGCATAATCGTTCGTCACATCCTCATCGAACATATTTGAGGAATCCAGTCTGTTATAAGCAGGCGCCGCATCGTCATAGGAAGGAGGACTCAAGTCGACCGTTTGATATTCATTACTACCTTCTTGAACTGCATCACTGAAAGAAGCGTCACGGGTAGGATAATCATATGTATTTTGAGAAGGCGATGTATTCTCTTTTGCAGGAAACTTCTTCCTAACAACTGATGCATAAGTGGGTATTTGATCAGAATGACCTTGAAAAAAGAATTGTCATTTTATTACAGAATACGAAATGCCTAATTGGGTCATACTATATATATTACTATTATATCTTATATTAATTGTGTTTATAATTATAATAATTTGCTTCTTGCGTGATTGTCAATTTGGTATCGAATGTGCACAGGTTTTCGATGAGGTTTCAGTTCTGGCCGCTTTTTTGTGAAATGTTGTTTTGCATTACGGGCAAGTATGGTATTTTGTGCGATACGCAATGTGAAAATTTTGTCTCAAATTAAAGCAGTGTTACAAGATTGGGAAAGTTTACCATATTTTTTTTTCTCACCACTAGAATGTAAAGTATCATATCCATCATGCGCTTCATTTACACTCGAATTTATAGCTGGCGATTCATCCTGAGGCAATGAGGCATTCCTCATATCTTCCAGAGACGAGTATTGATTTTGTGGTTTGGTTGAAATCGCAACATCTATAGTTTGTAATGGTGTCGCCGGTTTATTCCTGAAAATTATATTATCATGACTTTCTTGTATGTATTAAAACCGTTATCGTCACTTTGGAACCCTCACCCAAACTGTAGTAATTTTGTAAAATGAACAAAATAAATGGCAAATCTGTTTTAAATGTAGCCCAGACTCTAACGTTAATCAGAAGAGAAGTGTCTCTCACATCACATAACTTGTCCTATGTTTCAAAATTGTTTTGTGATCAATATGAAAACCTTCAGATATAAGAGAACGTACTTCTTTTCAACAAACTATCTAAACTTTTGGTAGGAAAATTCATTTTCAAAGAGGAGTGTTTGTAGACCATACAAATTAGAGACAAGTGTACGCCGTAATAGTTCACCTGTGTTTTCTGAGCAGAACAACAATCAATATAACAACAACAATTATTAGGAGAGCGACAGCAACAATTGGCAGAACGTGTTCAATTGTCTGGTTACTAGTTACACCTGGAACATATTTGGGTTAATATTATCAAATAATTTTATTAATTAAACAATCTGATTAAAATAGCAAAATATGCTGTGAAAATTTTTCTGGTCATCGCTGGAAAATAGGACGACAAAATATACAAAAACATTTCTTAGAGAATGTATTTAAGAAGATTGTATATACAATTAAACTTTGTTCTAATCAAAATCTTTCTGAAAATCTGATAAAATTAATAATTAACTTGATGAGTTGAAGTAAGTGGGGTGTTATGTTGACAAATACTAGTTTAATTTGGGTAACAAAAATGATCGATCAATTTTAAGTTGTAAAATAGGCAATCGGTAACGGATATTTGGCATCAGAATTTTGATATTTGCAAAAAACCCTCCGAGAGGGATAAAACCAGATATTTATTAGTGTTAAACTTACCTGCAAATGTGGTAAGGGAATGAGCCGAACGATTTTCGGTCGCTGTGACGTTGCTAGTATTTTTTCTCCGAGTAGTGTTGAGCAATGATTGGGTAATTTTCCAAGAATCTTCTCATGGGATTGATGTTTAAAAACAAAATATCGATACTTACGATTTCATATTTATTGCAAAAAAGAAAAAAGCAGATAGCTAGGTATAATCAAAGGACCATTAAGAGCAGCCCCAAAAATCGCGCATAAAAATCAGAAATACGTTAGCATGCTTCCTCAAAAGTCATTACTTCAAGAATTTCCCAACCAATTTTCAGTGTTCACCTTCTATGAAAATTCCTATTGCTAACTATACACTCGCTTTCAAAATTTGAGAAAATATGTCATGTATATACGTCTGTTCTATTCGATCAAATTTAATTTCCACTGCGTCCATAAACGTGGAGCTGTATTTATTGCAAGTTTGTGTCGAGGCCGACAATTGACTTTCCGTCTACCCATTTTACTACCCGTCTACCCAGAGCATGTCTATACTGCATTTACAAATTTAAAATCCCCAATGTTCATGAAATTTATGATCATAACATAATTGATCATTTCGTCTGCCAAAAAACTAGCCGTTGTATATAATTTATGTTATTAAATATTCGTAAAATAGTAAATACCTGTATATGCTGTAACATGTATTTGACTACCGTGTGAAGAGCTGGTAACGGCGGATTTTGTAGTGGTAATGGTAGCCCTCGTAAACTCCTTAAAACCAACATCATCTAAATATTTATTTTGAGTTTTTATTACGAATTTTGGAAATTTTTAATATAAACTGATTATTTAGACGTAAAGTGTTCCTCCTCATATCATGAAAAAGCCGCAAAAAAGCGTGTATGATGCAATACATATAATAACAATAAGTAATAAACTTACAAACTTACTTTTACAATCTAAAATTTGATAATCCATATTAAATCCTGTCCGGTCATCAAGATTTATAACACCGCTGTTTTCAAAAACGATTTTTGGTGTTGAGTTTGCTAGCGGGCCGTTGTGGCAATTCATGGAATGTCCGTGTGACACATGTCTTAGGCAATTATCGGATACCGAATTATAGTTGTATATGAAACACTTAGGTTGTAACAAAGAACACTCATAAGTACCTGTAATCGGTATGTGAATGCAGCATTTTTAATCTTGATTCAGTGTAAAGTTATTTGGCCATTTTTACATGGCCATTCTTACAACTTTTTGCGAACATGCAAAGTTATTTAAAAAATGAAAAAAGTGTCTGGAGTACTAAATACTATACCAGAATAAAACTACAAAATAGCGCCCTCGTTTAACTTCTGAAAATGTGGAAGGCAGAGGAATCCAAATTTGCGACCTACCCAAAACATGAGGTTATTTTATCAAAGAAAAGAGCGACAGCAACAATTGGTAGAACGTGTTCAATTGTCTGGTTACTAGTTACACCTGGAACATATTTGGGTTAATATTATCAAATAGTTGTATCATTTAAACAATTTGATCGAAATAGCAATATATGGTGTGAAACTCCTCCGGTCATCATTATAGAAATAAGACGATATATATACAAAATGATTTTTCAGTGAAGGTATTTAGCAGATTATATATCCTAAGCACACTTTGTAACCACAAAATACATCGATTTAAAAAAAGTTCAATTCTAATCAAAATCTTTGGTAAAATCTGATCAAATTATTAATTAACTCGGTGATTTGTAATAAGTGGGGTGTTATGTTAACATATGCTAGTTTTATTTGAATAACGAAAAATTATAGATCTATTTTAATATTAGGAATCCAAATTTGCAACCTACTCAAAACATCAGGTTATTTTAACCAAGTGTCGTGAGTACTCTTGACTCTTTGCCAGACAGACTACGGGGGTTTTCTCGTAGACTTTCAATAAAACTCCAGTCGACTTCAAAAATGTATTCAACGAGGTTTGGGTAAATATATCCTGGCAAAACATCTTATTGTATTCATAACACCTTACCATCAGGCATTGTTAGTCGGGTGGCAACATCTCCACACTTATGTTGATTATCGCGATAGACGAAGACGTGAGTCAGATTCAAAAACAGCAATTTGTCATTCCCGATCTGTGGTAAATTCCATCTAAAAATATTGAAACATAAGATACTTTCAAAATAATGTAACACCTAAAAACTCATCAGTTTTGTTGTTGGTTTTTTGCTTCCGAGTTCCGAGAGAAATCGAAAGTTCACAGGAGATGATCATCTCATGATCCAGGCAGAAACTATTTGCAAAATCGAGTTTATTGATCAACGTAAACCTGTATTTTATTCATGGCAAAGAAAAAAATTTTCCCTATACAACTAGGGTTGCCATCTTTGAAAAGTTTCAATAAAAGACATAGATTACCGTCATCATTTATATTGTAACTTGAAGGAAAGAACAATATAAAACAATGAAATAAAAATTATATACAAGCTAAAAGATATTTCAAAACAATCTTTATGTGTTTTTCATTTAATGTTTATTTGACACTGACCCAAACAATGTTAATAAAATTGTTATTTCTTTGGCTATTTGAGCCGGACCAAGGAGAAATTAAAATAAATAAATAAAAGCTTGCAGATACATAAAGGGGTGGCGATTTTTTAAGAACGGAACAATATCAAGCACAGTACTATAACTATCGGGTAAAACGACGTTGGAACAAATGAAGGACATTTAGAATCTTTTCTGAATGCTAAAATGGACAAGAACAGAAAAGCTTAATTAAACGATTGTCCTTTGAAATAAAGGACGGTTGGCAACCCTATACAGCTGAAGGAGATATTTGACTTATATTTTCAAAATTTCTTCAAGATACGTGATCAAAGGCCTGGAATTTTATTCAGGTGCATGAAATTTATCAAACTTTGATAACAGTTTATAAAAAAATGATTGAGAACTTATAATTTTTATCAAAATCTAACCACCATAGATTGAATTTGAAATTAACAATGTATACCGGCATGCATCATCTTTTTTGAATTTCCCTTTTGTAATAATTGAACCGCTTTGTTCCGTTAATACTTTCAACTGAGTAGCATTAAACAAGGAACAAGAATTTGCCTCATTTTCTTCAACTGAAACGTAATTTCATTGTAAATAAATTTTAGTATTGCTGGTATTACTGAAAATTGATTGTATACTGTGATTATCGAAACTAAACAAAAATGGATATAGAAATATGGCCTGAAATTCAGCTCGTGTGCCTTTTTTTGCACAATGTAATTAAAATTGCATTAACCTTATCTCCAAGCAATATCAGCCCTTGATATATTTGCTGAAAATTTAAGTATTCAGACTGGGATAAACTGGATTTGAATCCAACCGCACGCATCGCACCAATTCATGGTTGATTTCACATATGGCCCAGAAGCCCGGTTAACTGGTAGATCTATAAAATACTTTTGATTATATCTGTCTATCTTTATATTAAATCGGAGTTGAAATATCATCTTTTGTATATATACTAATCTGAAGACGAATTCACATTTTCGGTTTCCGGTTGATAGTTATTTTGTAATCATACTGCAATTATAACAAATGTATGCTTTTGCTTTGTCTTTACTTACCGAGATTCAAGATAGTAATAAACAGCAGAAGTAGCTTGCAGATATCATAATTTCCTTTTGTTCTGCCACACAACATGATTTTAATTCACAAAGAAATGTTGAATAAAATAATTCTAATAATCTAAAAATTAGTACCTTCCTTAATATAGGGCAGGGGTCCGCAACCTACGGCCCGCAGGCCAGATCCGGCCCGCGGAGCAATATAATCCGGCCCGTGACGCTTCGCGGAATTATAGTAAGAAAACAGCTGTTTTGACGATTATATTCTTTACGTAACAGAATTTTTTATTCTGAGACACGTATAGACTAAATTATATTGTAATTTATTATAATTAGACAAATGGCAACAAAACGCGGAAAAGTTGATTGAAGTGTAAAGGGTTTAATGGAGCAGAATTAATTTAAATGGTCAGTCTCCGAGCTCTGCTTAAAATTTAACTTCTGACCTGTGTGAAAAAATGAGATTCATCGGCCATTCGTTCGGTTTTTAACTTTCTAAAAATATGTGCGGCCCGCCAATGACGTGCAACCTTTAATTTTGGCCCGCGGGTGACAGAAGGTTGCCGAACCCTGATATAGGGGGGGGGGGGGGGGGAATTGTTGGTTGTTTTAGCAGGTGTATAACAATTTATTCCCCTGTACTCTACGAACTCCAATTAAACCCTTTATCCGCGTTCACAATACCCCCTATAGTTCAGTGTTTGTAGGGTTGGTTATATGGCCCTATTCGAATACCCTCCTCCGTAGAGGCATATTGAGCTGCTATATTCGAGGACAGCTACACAAGTTGTGTACGTGAAGTCTTTGTTTTTTGCTATTGTGTTCAAATATGTCTAGTCAAAATGAAAAAATCTATCATACTAGGAAACATTTTAGCCCTTGTCTAATAACTGTTAGTCTAACATCACCGAATTTAACTCTGATTCTATGTCCGTACATGACGCTACGCTTTGAGAAACTCACTCGCCATCACACCTCTGATAACCCTACCCTGTCTATGGTAATGACCTTTTCTGGAAAAATTTCTGAATCAGGTGTTTGTCAACCTTTTTTCGTAATAGTCTCCCCCCTTCTAACCTTCACTCAAAGCCTGGTACACCACACCCATCCCACATCGCGGTTGGTAAAACTAATATTGTTCGACTCGTCGAGATCACAGGGTGATTCATGTAAGCGCCGCTCGATTCAGATACCTGATATGAACAGGAAACTTGGCGACAGGCCGTAGTTTGCAATGTGAATTTCCGGTTTATCAGCTGGTCTCTCCCCAGATGAATACGAAAATTCTAAAATTTATCAGTCAGTTATTTCAACATCTATGTCAAAGAATAAGCAAGCACATTCCAATAAGAAGTTTCTCATCTTCATGACAACATCCACCGGACGGTGAAAATAGTGATTTTGTCGTTTTTTTGCTCGAGATGGGTTGAAAACAACCAAGGTCTTACTAACTAACAACGATAGGGTGACGAATTAGAAATTTAGCAAGACAGATATTTATTTATACGTTTTGATTTATTTGCAGGCTGCCTAGGCTGCTTTTGCCCATTAATCTAAAAACCATCACTGTGAAATAAGTATATATGCAATTCTAAACACGAATTTATAGACTTACGTATTAAAGCGTCTTCGTTTCTTAGTCATTAGGAAGTTGGAATGATATTTTAAGCAAGACGATGCAGTACTGCATCTGATATGATATAATATAGTTGACGAAGTCCGAAATCTTCTACTGAACCATGTTTGGCCTATGCCTGATTGAGAGTGATACTATGAAATATATATATATATTTTAAAATATAAATATATTTTATCGTTTATGATTTGTACTATGATTAAAATAACTGGTGAAAAATATATATATATATATATGCTATAATCGTTTATTTTCCAAAACATGAACTGATTATAGTCCACTGAATTTAATTTTGTTAAGTACGAATTTTATATTTGATGTGAGGCACGGAAATTACAATATTTTCCAGTTGAAAAAATATTTGCTGCTTTTGCAATGTAGCTTTCACAACAGGACTCGAAAATTACATACGTATATAGAAATACGGAATGTCTATGGGAACCCACTTGGTTGGATAGCGATATATTTGTCAATCAAAGGACGAACCTTTAATTGTGAACACATTCAATGTAGCCTTTGTGTAGGCCATTGTTAGGAATAGGAATAATGAGTAATGGTCCCAATCATCGTGTAAATGGCACTCAACCTAAAGTGTCATCAAGTCTCTTATGTCAATCGTGGTTATGGCAAAGATAATAATGCATATATTTTGGCACCCTGTTTTTGAATAAATTTGTCATTTGGTTAAAATCTTTACTCTCGCTAATTAAACGTACTCTGATTTTATTGTACAACTCTCAGCATTAAATACTGTACGAATGGCACTTCCCTGCATTTCCACCGTGTTTTAACCTTTTTCAAATAGACTTACATCACCTAACCAAATAAAAGAAGGATTTGGTCGGGGTTACCGTGAGTTGCCCGTTTGGATTCGGGACCAGGTTACTGTGTGTTGACGTTGTAAGTAATATTGATAGATGGTTCTGGGATTGGCCTGTTGGGATAAACTTGAGTTACTGGCCAAATTTACCAATATGCAATTAAGTTAAGGTTAGACTCTAGAGTCATATTCACTGCCTATTTATTTTATTTTGGAGACATCTTCCTATCTGGAAAAGAAATCTGGCGCAATTGCAAATTCGCACTTTTCATGAAGCTAATACAAGGAAATAATGTGTTTCTTTTGCTGGTAGCGCTAGATAATAATAAGTGAAAAGTGCATCGTTTCCTGTGTTTCAATATTGTTCGATCACATTTTATAGCAATCGTTCTACGGTGTGGTTATATACACGATGGATTTGTTGTCGATCATTCTTTAGATCTTAGGATTAACTCATTAATATTGCTAATATTATTTCAATTTTACTTTTCATTTATTCTAAATTTATTACCTGTTCATTTTTCGACCAGTGTGATGAACTGAGATCGCAGCCCCTTTGTCCTCTGCAAAATGACCCACGTATTTGTCCACTATGTTTGGTTAATCCACGGCTCAAACTAGTAGTTAGCTGTAATTATGTTTACAAAGTAGATTAGAGAATATTTGATCAATGTTGCGAGACATGTTGTAAAATCGGTCGTAACCGTGTTGTAGAGACAACTATAGTTTCTATGCCATGGAAGAGGCATACTTTGGAAGTTTAAAGATTATCAGAATCTACGAATGAAGTTTGATAGATTTAGGTAAATACGCGTTTTCGACATTCTGGTAGCGCTTTGGTCGCATGGGGGAATATCTTTGACGACAATCTTATGGTAAACGGAACTATTATGTCATTAAATCTGAATAGATTGACTTAATAGTTCCGTGTCCATGTTATAAGCTACATTACTATGAGATTGTCGTTTTAGTTAGGAGAAATGACAATCTTTTGTTAAAAGCGCAATAAATCTTATTAAAACAAACTACCGTGTCGAGTATGGTTTTCCAACAGAAGTATTATCACAGTTTTGGTTTATATCCGATCAGATGTGAGATAAGTATAATCCTGTCAGCGGAACGCTAGATAAACGGAACTGGAAATGAAAAGAGTATGACGTAATGGTTCCGTACTTAAGATACCCAAGCCTTTATATAAATTTATATGTATGGGATTTGTTCCACCTAGATGGCCCAAGACCGTTGAATATATAAAAACACTATGCCAAATTCAATTCCCATTTTAGGCATTCAGTCGCGCGATATGATCGACCAATGTAACAGGATTGTTGTAAAATGGGAACCATTTTTGTTATTGTATCACAGAGTCCACACATATAGTAGAAGTAGATATTCAATGGACGCGTATTCTTATCATTCGATATTGACAACCTATCTGTGTCTCGCGAGTGATTGGAAATTCTGTAATAAAAAGCCATAAAATATGGCTTAAATAAATACAAAACGCAAAAATCTGAGAAGTAGATGAGAATTTTACGTATCCCCACCAAACACGGGAGTATACGCCTACGTCGAGTTAAGATGAATCTTTTTTGAAACGACGATATTTCCGGCGTTAATTAAAGATATTAGGCTGAAGCACGATTTTGAGGAGATTTAAGCGAAGCAGACATGCCCAAGATTATAGTTCAATCAAATACTGTTCAAACCAGATATTCAACTGTTTACACTTTCATTCATAGTCATTTTAGCGTTGAAATCTAATATGACGCAACGTCTGAATTTGGAGTGACGGACATCGTTCGTCTGAGGCAACAGATACTATAATTAACGCTAGGTAATAGTGGTTCGTAAGTTATTGTATAAATTATGCTATTGTGTTGGTATAAGGCCTAATTTTTAGAAAATTTAAGTGGCAAGGTTGTGATAGTGGGCCAGTCGCTATGATCACAATTTGGTAATTGTATTAGCTCACAGTGCGTTTGCATCGTAAACATATTGAATGACTTTGTAGCTAGAATTAAAGAACATTGACAGTTGATTTCACGAGTCAAAAGCTATATTGAGAATAATCGTTAAGGAAAATTCCAATCAAGAAAGAAGTAATGTCATGAAAATGCAAAATAAATATCAACCGAAATCGTGCACAATGCGTGTTAGATCCAGAAAGAGCTAATATTATTAAAAATTTAATTATATTGAATCAAGAAAAACGATTTAAAAGTTTTTCACATCGGGTCATATTACGCCGTTTACGAATCGATAAGTTCTAAAAGTCAATGTTAGAGTACTTGTCATTCCGACTAAAAAGTAGCAAAGAAAACATTACTCCATCTTGAATGCCACGTCAATGCAACAGTGCAATCTAAAAGTTACTAATGCTTTTCGCAAATTTAATTCCTTTGTTATACAAATGATCCGTTTTCATTTCATATTAAATAGCTTTAAATTTGACTTGTATCGAATACTATATATGGTGCCGGAAGTAAAAAGTGACACTATGATTTCAGTTACCCCGGGGATAAAGTTGGGAAGTTCCGCCAGCGACATTGTTACATCTTATGGTTCCTCAAAACAGGGTTTGAATTCCGAATTTTATTTAATTAAAGAGATCTAATACGCTATGACAACAATTGCCTTTATGAGCACACGGAACTTTTCAAACAATGCAAATATAGAACCAGGAACGGGAAGTATATCAGGGAAGTTCAGAAATGTAAATCATGATCTAATTTATCTATCTTATGGTATAATACAGTATGATATTTCTTCAGTGGTTGATCGCGAATAGAGGGTTGATATAAAACGAATAGCGAGTAAAAATAGATAGATTTTGTATCAAAAAAAATTAGGCGTCGGTTACGAGCCATCCTCGAGGTAAAACTATTGTTTGTACTTTTTTTAGAGTAAAATTGCTCAGATTTTTGCAAATTTTGCAAATATTTGGAAGCTTTTGTTAAAATAAAAACAATTTTTTCGAGGACATTGTCTGATTGCAATAAATAGACATAGACAAAGCTATAACCTCGCTGGAAATCCAAGCGATCGTCGAACTTACTAGACTGAAGTACTTGTAAAATCAAACATACTAAAATTGGTGACCGTACATTTGAACCCATGTACATTTGAACCCATGCGTATATCCACGGGTTCAATCTATATGCGGGTGCTAAAACCCATGGGTTAGGGTTAGTATGGGTTTAACTATCCGTGAAACAAAAAAAATTCCATAGGTGCAATAGCATATAGGTGCAATTGTCATGGGTTCAAATGTACGTGTGTTCAAATGTAATGGAACCACTAAAATTACTAACAAGGTGGCAGACAACGTATTTTATGTTAACATACAACCGCATTCTTCAGTATTTCGCGGTATCTATACGTAATGAAGTTGTAACGACAGAAATCTAACGTTACGTATCAAGGTGCTTATCGTGTCGAAGTTAGTGCAACGTACAATGGAGAAGTACAAAGCAAGATTATTTCTAGTGTGTATATGGTATTGTGGCCATATTGACGCTATGATTTTCCACAAGAGTATACTTCTGCTTACTATCAGCGTTATCACCGACTATAGGCACAATCTCTGGTTTAATATGTTTGAAGTTCGACGAATCGTACGAAAGTAGTTTAGTTTAACATGAAAGATCCGCAAATATTGTTTGCGACATTGCTTGTACTAAAACGCTGTAAAGACATTAAATTCCAAATCAGCAATGTACACATATCGCTAGTTTTGCAATGCTTACCTTGTGAGCTATATACTCGGTAATTTGAGTGTTTGGTTTAGTTTAACATTGACAGGGCGAAGTTGTAAATCTGATGAAATGAATTAGCTTTCGCTAAGGGTGTGTTACTATGCACACATACCAGATAGTAACCAGAAAAAATGCCTTTATATGTTGTTGAAGTATAATGACAACACAAAGGATTTCCCGAAACTGTTTCTGTTCCCGAAACTGTTTCGTTAACTGTTTATTGATGGAACTTGTGATATTTGCGGTCGGAGTTAATTTTAAAACTTTCTGAGAATTTTTTATTAATGATTGAAAAAACTCCTCAATCACACTGGTTTAGATACAAATTAGTTTGAACTTGCATGTATTTGTCGAGATAACGACTCTTACTCGTATTACATTTATTATTGGTACGAAATCGGCGCCACGTCTGACAGTATAAATCCGAGTTAGAAATGTATATGGCGAGTAAGCGAGATAATCAGATATTTAGGTTTGTTAACATTTATAGCAGTACTTACCATGGTCCATGGGTATACATGTTTCATAGCGATGGCCATCTTTGGAAATTTTTAGTCTGTAAAGTTTGGGCAGGGTGCGAATATTACAAGTCTCGGTTTCCTTTGAAATAACTTTGAGACACTTTTTGTGTATTTTGAATACTCAATTATGTACTCCAAAATGTCTGCTTCAACGTCTTTTCCCACGTCATAAAAAAGTTTTGCTTTCATCTCGCTTTATTTTGCCTCACAACTGTACATGCTTATTTATGTGGACAGATAAAGCATAATTTTTTCTACAATTATCAATTTGAGTTCCATACAGGATCAAAAACTTTTTAACGAAATTAAACATTGGGCAATTTTCAACAGATAGCTACATTTTACTTAGATTTTTTATTCTTTATTGCCATATGGCATAGCCCTAGCTAGGGTAAAGGTATTTAGCCTGTTTTTAACACTTTTGCGTCAAGGAAAGCTCGAAAACGTGCATCGTATATGGTTTCTGCCATTACTGTTTCCACTCCTATAGTTGAGGGATATTACTTTGATTTCGCAAACTTAAATAAATATATTACTAGTAAATTTTCGGCTGTATGTAATCTGTCATAGTCACAGATTAGCTGGTGCAAGACGAATCAAAGTGAGCCAAACCGGATATTTCCAATCTGCAAAGCCAAAATGATTTTGCCAACATCTTAGCATGCCATTTAATAAGTTATGTAAAGAATTCTGTAATAGTACAATGATTTTAAAGTACTCACTCAATAATATGAACCACATATGACTCTAATTTGTCCCCACGTTAATCACATATTTTTTACTAACCCATAATCCTGTTTTTATTTACTGAATATATAGCCATAAAGTTGAACAGAAAGTAAAATATTTGTGTATCATGTAATAATGCGTATAAGAATTTGAACAACTGTATTCGAACAACACAATCTTTTTCCACGTTATCCATTAACAGAGACAATAGTGTCCTCTCCTGCCTGCATTATATCATCTACTTTACTTCGGTGCAACGATTGCATGTGAACATGCATCGAAATAGAAATAATTCACCTTTGTCCACGTACGTTCCAAACAACCGGTCGTCAGAAGTGAAACAAACTAATGTTACAGAGAACTCTGACAAAAGTAAAGATGCAATTCAAGATAATAAGAAGAAAAGACAAGCACATTTAGAGCAAGTGAAATCACGTCGTAAGAATTTAAGCGATAGAAAATCGAGGTTGACCCGTCGTCATACCAGTTATATACCGTCATATGCACCAGATTATGTGACACCGGCTTCTCAAAGAAGTAAATCGGACAACTCTCCAACAAGAAGTCCACTAGCAGCAAAACCGGTGCTTGTCAAACAGCTGAGTTTACCACCAGATAGATTTGGACCAACAAGCAAATTGACTCTGGAAGAAATAAGACAGAAATATACTGAAGATATTTATAAGCCTAAAGGTAAGCGCATTTTTGTAATAATATACTGTAAACTGTGAAATATTTCTTGATCTTCTTATCTTCGGTATGACCTATTGATTAGCGTATTGAATTTAGGCCTGCAATTGAATCCTGCTGTTTTAATTACATTAACTAATAATCTATGCTTATACCATGTCGTTTTTCATGCTGTCGAGATTTGGTTTCAATCACAGGATCAATAACTACGTTCATTCTACTTTGTTAGACATCCAACTTGATCTGCAAGACATCTGTTTTTTTTTTGTCTTGCATAATTCAAAATAAATTGTATTTATCAGAATCCTATCGTGGTCGGTATTAACTGAAAATTTTAGGTTTTTATATACTGAAATGATGGATATATTGTCCCATTTCGATGGTCATCTTCGTATATATAGTGCATATTGAGATGCCATATGCAGCGTTCCCAAACTTTTTTTAGACTCGGAACCCACGCTTTTTATCTCTCCTCGCGGAACACCAATAAATCAGGGGGTAAAATTATCAAAAATTGCGTAGTGGATTTACTTTGTGCATCAACTTGCACAAACGGCTTGTCACGACATCTTTTGAGGCCTCTTGTTTTAAAACAACAGTCCATTGAGAAGGGTGGTTTCCAAAAAAAATTAGCCCATGGTAAAGTTTAAAAGTTTGTTGTAAACTCGGCAATCGAAAAATTCGGCCGACAGGTAACAATATTGAACGACCAAAATGCCATGCTTTCCAGGCGGGCTCGAGGCCTGTCCAACTGTTTAGATAGCGAAGCCTGCCCGCTTGTTTGCCGCCAGTTGGGAGACAGATTTACGACCCTGAGACGACTAAGCACGGCCGAGATCTCTATGGTAACCACTTTAGTCACAAGTCCGATCCCTGTACCGCGGAACACTCCGAAGAAGCTCGCGGAACATCAGTGTTCGGCGAAACAAAGTTTGAGAAACGCTGCCGTATAGACAGCGGGCTTCATTTTTAGGCCAGACACAAGACGTCCACTGCGAATTGAGTGCAATATATTGTATAAGGACTTGTTCTTTTGATGTAATCAGATGAAACTAGCTCAAACCAGCGATAATGATGAATGTACTAAAATCTGTGTAGAGTTTCCTTGAAAATTCTGATAACAAGAAATTGCGCCATGGGTGATATATAGTGTTAAAATTATGAAAAAGTAAAAACAGCCAAAGGTGAAATGAAAGAAAGAAGAACCGCGAGACAACACAATTTAACAAATTTTCCTAATCTTATTTCAGACAATTATGAGGTATAGGCCCCTTTACGAGGTTGTTTGTGTTTCCTGACGTTTACCGTGTATTGTAATAATGTCTTTGGTAATATGAATATTGAATAGTTATAACTCTCTATATATACTCATTGGCATAGATATAAAGAATATTGCTTATAATATTACTTTCACTACTTCCACCGCCAGCGATTGGGCCACTATAATGTTACGAATTTCAAAGATAACGATTCGATACAAGGTATTGTAAGTCCAATTTCGACTACGGTAAGAAATGTTGTGAAACGGACATGACGTAACCTTCAGTACTATTCACATGGTTAATATTATTTCCTGGGCTTGTTTTGGCTTCTGTTGTTATTGTGGACGCTGTCAACAGTTCTGCTAGAGGTTTTTGTCTAGCGGCTCATAGTTAGAAACGCAATGCTTCGCTATTGTAGAAGATTTACTGATGTGTCTACAAGTTTTAGACTGGGTTATTGTTAGGTGGGATAGGAAATAAATAACCAGTTTTTGTGTAGTTTTTGCCATGTTTAAGACAACTTGTCTCCTTATAAGAAGAAAATTAACATTCACAAATTTTTGAGCTGTTGAAGGATAGCAATAAAGCGACAGAAATAAATTTTTCCCATACATAAAGCATCTCTAATGATATTAATAGTTGCTCCTGATTGAATAGCATTTGAGCTACTTGAAGTGAAACCACTCTTCATTGTAAATACAAGGTATTTTATTTGCTAATGGCGAAAGAGATAAAACGTCTCAACTATGCAGAATGTAAAATTAAAGTGTTGCTATTTGGCCTATACAGCATTGAACGCATTCTAGCAATAAAGCAGTATTAAAACAACTTTTTGTTGCTGTACGAGGTCAGCAGCCACCTTCTGTGTAATATATACAGTTAATATATAATCTTATATTGACTTCTATAAATAAACAATTATCTTTACCACCCTTGTGATTTATCACATATATTCTCAGTTGTGCATGTTACAATACATTTGCGTATATTGTTACGGTTTTTAATTATCTTGTGCAGATATTGACTTAGCGCGGACTATTTGTTTGGTATGCTGTACACGAGGTGGCGTATTCGAGATTGTAGCATTCTTACCTTGTTATTTGGGCATTACAATTGCAGCACAACTATTATACTATTAAAACTAAGTTGCGATCTTTTATGTGAAGATGCTCCATGGTGCCATAGTACAATACGTTAGATTATATAAATTCGAACTTGTTTCATCTGAGTTATGTGATTTCTGTCATTCTAATGTTGACACCACTAGCCGCCTTTTCTATGATTGTATTGTTGTTAAGCAGTTTTGGGAATATCTTAACATGTGGATATATTCAAAAACAGGTATAAATTTGAAATTTTTCAAAATTAGTTGGATATTGGGATATGCTAGTAATTTTTATAATAAGTTGTGTAATTGTATTCCTCTTGCTGCTCGGTTTTACTTTTACGTTGTAAGATACAAAAAAATAAACCTCTCTCCAATGTTTTTACCACATATCTGTCTGAAGATAAAGAGACTACACGGTACATTGTGTACAAAAATTGCAAAATAAAAGAATATGATCAAAAATGAAAATTTTTAAGATATGTACAATAATTGGTTGTCTATATATGATTATATGGTGTCTATTTCTCATGATTGGTGATGAATAATCAAGTAACTGTCCGTGTAACTGTGTTTTATATATTGATAATTTAATAAAATCTATTTATATTTAGGCAATAAAACATTGAGAATTAGGTTCAGTGATAATTAAATAACATACTTGGCTCAATCAATCAAACCAAAGTAAGTCTAATATATGATTTATATAGTGGGTCTGATTTATATCCTGATGTGATGTTAACTTAAAAGCGTTTTTAAGCAACCATCAGCTAGGAGTAGGTGTCGATATGGTCGTAATCGCCATTTAAATGGCATTCTCAGCAGATGGTAAGTTGGGCTGCCATGTAGCCAGCTGGGTTTATTTTTGGGACAAGTGCAGTATGATATTTGAAGACTTCGTTCGGCGCTCCCGAAATATGTGCACCGAGATGGCGCACAACCTGAACCCTAACCTGGTACACATACTATGTTCAGGTTGTGCGCCATCTTGGTGCACATACTTCTGGAGGTCTCTTCTTCCTTACTTTCATCTAATATTGAAATATCCATCTACTTTTAAAATGAAGGTAAAAAAATGGTCTTTAATTCTAAATTGATGGCAACGAAGGTAGAAAAATAATACACACTACATAAATTTAATAAATTTTAATTTGGTTAAAAAGTATTTTCCTTAGTCGTGATATTGAAAGAGACAGTTTGTTTACCTAGAGGTCATTAATTCTATGATGTTCACGCCACAGACAAAAGTTTGAATAAGCACTCTTCCATCGTTTTAAAATCATCTAGTGGCCAATCGACCCATCAAATCCTTTTGTGTTCTAGAAATGTGTGATGCCACATATATGTGGCATGACGTCATGTTTTGTATCACGCTGTCACATTTTGACTTTATTACCACCATCCCCTCATTGGAAGTTATGTTCTCATGAACATAAAAGAAGATTGAAACGTAGATTAAAGCCTATTTGGATAAAACAGATTAAAATTAAATTTTGAACGGGCAATGATATACGTTTATTCATAGATATTTATAGCACCGGTCTAAGTACAGAACTATAATAATGCGACGTCAATAAATGTTGGACTTTTTGTTGTAAAAATAAATTAGGGATTTTTTCGGGTCGTATTTCAACTTTGTGTTTAAATTACTTCAACGAAGATTTCTGTTCCTATATAACACATTGTATATTTTTATTGTTAACTGCTATGACTTTTATTTCACATTGACGGTTAGAAAGTCTATATCTAAATGTTTTAAGCATATAGAATTGTCATTATGATTTGGTTCAAAAGGTGACTTTAGGCTAAGAGTAATGTAGGACGAAACCTATTTCATTGTGGAAACGAATAAATTCCTTTGGTATTAACATGTGTAACTGAATATAGTACAAAAATAGATTTGCCTGCAACTGTTTTTACAATATTTCGCTTCAAATTGTAATAAAAAAATCCCCAATGTTTTCTATATTCTATTAGTTTATGTAACTAATAATAGTCCAACGTTTTATTTCAGTGAATTTTCCATCTAAATGTCACGCGTGTCTTTCGTTCATTAATTTGGTATCTAGGTAGCTTCTCCCGTATTCGTATCAAAATAGCAGAATAAAACATAGGAATGCAGCAGTGTTACGTTTTGGGAATACTAAATATTTTCCATTGGCATATCATGAAACCGGATGTCTATGGGCTATTTAGCCCGCACACCAAAATGAATGGCACTACTCCGATTACGTTCTGAGTTTTCCATTTATAATTCAGTCAGAAATTTGAAGTCAGCATTTGTAAATTAGGTGAGCGAATGCACGATATGTTTTCATGCATTTTCTTGGCGCCTTTCGCAGAACCGCACAATGCTGACGCACCTCGACTTTCTGATGTATGTGACCCTGGCAAGGGTCATTCACTATGAAAAAACTTCGCTTTCGGTCAATGTTGCGATGAAACAAAGGTAATCCTACGTTTATGTCTTGAAAATGAAAGTACATTTATCTGTTGCATTTCTCGCCTTTAGAATGTCAAAAGTATGCGAGGAAAACAGAACGATTGAAGATAGGTAATGCACGGGGGTGAAGTTATATTAGCAAATCAGGTATGTTAAGGAGATGTAAGAAACCTAACGGGTACTCGTTTAGACA